ATTGAAAAAGAAAGCTGATATATAGCCGATGATAAAAATGTCTGTTGTTTGCGGCGCTGGAGCAAGTAATCCTAAGACTAATCAGTAAACAATAGCTTGCAAGTAATTCTTTCAGGCTCTGTGTCATAATCTTTTTCTTTGAGTTTCCATTCAAGTATCGACAGGCTGCCTTTTCAAAGGAAAAGTTATCATTCTTTTATAAAATAATAGATAGCAGGCAGTTATCGTTGATTATCTTGCGCATAATATCCTAAACATTATTTGAGTCCAAAAATTGTCAGAAATCTAAAAATTTATCGTAGCCTTACAGGGTTTCTCTTAGAAATTTCGTTTCGCGATGTACGTGTAAACAAAAAAAATTTTCAGAATTTCGAGATATATTCTGGACATTCATATTCATAGAATCTTCTACAATATCATTCAGTTATAAAATAATATTCATAACAAATCTTCTAAAAATCACTTGGAGAAAGTCACATCCTACCGTTTTCCATAATAGAAAAAACGCAAGAAAGTTCCTTTTAATCCGTTTTCTTTTTCCAAGCGTCAGGAGCTCAGTTTGTAAATACGCATGTTTAGGTGATTCAGATTCTGCGTCCCACGACGTCATAGTTTTTCAACAAATTTTCAGTCATTAACTCTAAACTATTCGTCTAGTAGTACGACTTCCGTTTGTTGTTCAGTTTGTCCTCGCGATCAGACTTCTCACTAATTTGCATATTTTCTCATATAATTGGTGTCTGAAAGCCACGTAATATTTCCTGTACGTAAGCTCAGGAAAGAAGAATTCCTTAAAACCCATTCAGTAATTATTAATCGGCGCTAGAATAGCAGCGGCTCGCATCCGCTGCTGAATTGCTCGGACGAGTTCGCCCGATGCACTGCTGCCACGCCCCCTCTCTTCGCGGTCGTGATGTTGTTCAGTCGAAGTCGAGCAGACTTCTGGTGTGACGCCTCCCTTCTAACACCCCCTACTTCCTGATCAAGCCCCCCCCCCTCCCCCTCTCGCAAAACAATTCTCCATCTCATCTATGCTTCAATGATAGTGCCTACGAGTTGCGGTTGTTGAGGATCTTCCACGGAAAAAATTCCGTACAGGACCTTCTCACCCACCCTCTTCGTTCGGTACATATATCCATTACATTTCGAGTCGCACTTGCTACGAAAGTAGTAGCAGCACATGTAGTTATTGTCAGTTCTTGAGCTAGTACGTGATTGCACAAAACATGCACATTGCGCGTGAAAACCAAGACATTAGATCAAAAGATAAATCCTCAAAGACACTCTTTCAGTATGACTTTTACCATTTGCTTTGAAGAAAAACTTTACTGCGCTAATGACATCTACATGAGTCTCTCCTTCCAAGGGTATGTGCAATTACACACAGTACACACATTGCGCGTAAAGTCCACAGCATTGTTAGTCTCGAAGGCACATACTCTGAAAATGCCCATTCAGTGTCCTTCTCTATTCTAATCTTTCAAGACTTTGTAAGAGGGATTAGTCAACTTTAGCAAGTTTTCTTAGCTTTTTGCAATAGCTGAAATCACAGCTTGACGAGCAGTGTGTATATTGTGTGCAATTGCACATATAATTAAGTTACAAGCCGCGGCTGAACTTTTGTCGTACTACTATAGCCTAATCGAAACCTTAAGAATCCAAACTCCTCCTCCAATCCGCCTCCAATGTCTCATCCATTTCTAATCTCATGGAACAGTTGTCCTTAGCGGATTTTTCTGACCCTCACGTTATACTCTTTCCACGGCTTGAAGATGAAGCTCTTGAAATTACATGGAACCTCACCTGTGGCCAAATGTCAACTTGAATTCCCGTGAAGTCTTTCAAAGCAAAGAAAAACTCGCACAAGAATTTTCGCGCTGAGGAGAATCTCCTTCCATTTGCGGCTTTTCTCCAAATTTGTTTTCCACGTGTCCTAGTACAAAAATTTTCCTTCGACTTTTTTTGAGCAGGGGTAGGTGGTAATCATGTAGATTCTCTTAAGCGATAAAAGCGAAGAAAGCTTTTTGAGAATTTAAGATGACGATCAGGATATTTTTGGCGTTTTTGGTAATTTGAGTAATAATTATGTGAGAATTTTCCACAAAATGCTTTTCTATCGTATATAAAATATCTTTCGAATACGTTTTTTTTCAAATATCTTGCTTCCGAAGTTTTCGCGCGCCTTGGAATTTGCTGTTTTTCATTGAGGAATAAAAAAATTTTGCTTTTATCGAAGCGAAAGACTTTTTTCAACTTGTAATCCATTCTGAGCTTGTATAATTCTTCAACTTCCAACACTTCTGCTTCCGATTAATCAACGCTTTGTCCTTTATGTAATGGTAATTCTATTGAAAGCGCAAAACAAAGCATAAACATTCTATTCGTTTGAAAATGATTCCAAATAATGACATTATATGAAATCATTACCCTATTTATAATTAAATGTTCGAAGATCTGATACTATTAGGGATCTCGGGCCTTTTGTTGTCCTAAAAGTTCTGGAGAAGTACAAATTCAAACAAAACTTGAAGGAGTGCAGATCCATTATAAAAGTATGACACTTTAACTCAATTACGCCTATCCTGAATCGCTGATTCACATCGAAAAAACGGCTAATTACTACTAATTTATAATTCAACGCTGTTCTTAGATTGGTAGTAAAAAACATATTTCTGAAAGTTCTTTGAAACATGAATGCTAAAAATAGACATAGTTTTATCCATATAATATAAAAGCTAGGAGTCGTAGAGTAGGTTGTACTGGTTAGATATAATGGGTTTTTTGGCTCAAAATCGTATATCTTATATTTATGGTGAAAAAATGATATACCGGGATCGGCAAAGGTATCTTGGTAAGCAAGCTGGATATCGTTGGGGACAGAAAGCAAAAGGGGTTTCGTTTTTGTAGCCTAAAAGACACAAAATTTGCGATGCTTTTTTGGTCGACGTTTCGATTTTTTTTGGAGATTTTATAGAATAATGGCTAAGGGTCAAAGGGAACTTCGTAAATTTTTGGGAAAATCAATGGGGACTTCGTCTTTTACATTTTTCAGAAAGCCCCCTCGTGCTGAGCCCTGTGATATAAGTGAAGCGGAAGAGAAGAATCAGTAGCCCTTATTCACTTTACATTCTAGGATATTAGCCAAGTTTATCTTTGTAAGTAAAAAATTTCCAGATTTCTAATTAAATGGAAATGTGTTTATAGCAAGTGTAAATTTGCAATTTTATAACGAAGCCTGAGCAGATGTTGAGAATTGCAGGGTTGTTACTATTTTTTTTACAATTTAACAAAAAGAATTGGTAAGAAAACTTAACAACTCGGCCCAAGTCAAACTTTCATCTAATTAAGATCCCGAAGTTATGGGTAAGGACTTTTTGACCAGATCGTCCCTTCTTAATGTTTAGTCAGCTTTCTGAAGTACAACAAATTCTCATCATCATCTCTAATCTCACATCTCGTGCCTTAAGAATTCGGACAAAGCTATATTATCTCAATCAAAGTGCAAAAATCCGTAGAGTGAGATTTGACCATGGGATAATAAGTACATCATCGCATATTATAGACATATTCTGGTGCTCCTCCCCCACTCCCCTGAGATTTTTTTCTTCACTCTCTTCCGATCTTCACAGCGATTCTGCAGTGTTGAAAAGCTTACTAGCTCGGACCATTGCCTCCTTTCACGCTGAAACTTGCTTTGTCGGATCACTTAGAGCCTTTTCTTCCACCTACACCATCCTGCTACGAAAGCATTTACATTTCAGAGATCTTAAAGAAAAAGTTAGTTTGCGTCTATGCGTGGTAATAATTTATCCAACCATCATTAGACGCTTAAACACGTCATAAATATGTTCCGCACGAATTGCAACGAAATTTTGCAAAAATACTAATATGAACTCGCTTTCGTCAATGTAAGTGCAATTTTATGCTTATTCCTACCTTCAAGGAGGGTAAAATTCTTTACCAATGGAGCAAACAATCGTTAATGCCCACTTGCTGAGCTTTGCAAAAGCAGCACCTAGTCACGCTAATTGCAAAATTGTTTAGGAAGGTAGGTGCTTCACTTAGAAGTGTTGGAGGATTTCTTGCTGGGAAAATGCTGCAAAGTTTCCCATCCTCACTTTGGATGCAAAGTTTCCCATCCTCTTTTTGGAGTACATTTCTTGGGAATTCTTAGCGAAAGCATAGAGTTGGGACGATGGCTTTGGGTGGGGCTGCTTTTTATTCATGAGTAAAAACTTGAAAAGTAAAAGCTTTACGAGTGCTCTGTTTTGAAGTGCCTTAGATTGCTAAATTATGTCCATATGTAGGTGATAGAGGTCCGAATTCTAGAAAAAAAGGGGAATGGGACAGCTTTTTTCAAATGATGACTACGAGGAGTGTTAACCATGATCTACCGAAGAAATTTGGGTTACCTTCCGAAATTTTTTGCCGGCCTATGACTACGAAATCTTCAAAAAAAAAGTAGCGTATTAGCCACGTCCCCAAAAAATCTCTTGAAACTAATATTATTTCTTGAAGAATTTCTGAGAAATTTTAATCTTTATTTACAAGTAAACACAAATTGCGCAGTTTTATAACTTATGTAGGCACTTCCAAAAATTTCGCCTCTTTTCCGGATTCTCCCACCCCCCCCCTCCTTACAGTAGTCATTGCGAGGGCTTTTAATAAAATAAAACCAGACTGCATGCGGCCAGAAAATCAATATATCGATCAATTCTATTGGGATGGGTTGCTGTAGTTCAGTGCGAATATGTACGATCTCGAAAAAAATTCACAGAAATTTTTAAACCTTACTTATGCCTATCATTGGTCAAATTTGGAATTCTAAGAGAATTCTTAGCAAGTTCCTCTTCAGTTTTTTCTTGCGGTAATTACTCACCAATTTGCCCCCTCAGAAACCTCTTTTCGTCTTGGTCATTCAATCTCACCGTGTATTTCGTTTCTTCTGCGTCGATTTTTGTTCTACAGTCTTTGTTGGGCACTTTTATAAGATTGTTTACAGTGTTTACAGGGTACACAAAGATGCACACCATGTTCACAGTCGCGCTTGCATGTACTATGGCCACATTGCTCCTAGCTCAACAGGTATGGAGCACCTTTTTTGAACGATTTTTCTTTAACCAACTAGGTAATCTCAGATGGACGAGGAACTATCGGCAGACAAACGAGTGAGGTCATTCGCATTCGCCAAGCGATCCCCCTACAGGCAATTTGCATTTGCCAAGAGATCCGAGGAAGAGGATGAAAGCGAAGTCGAGAAACGAGCCCGATTCGCCTTCGCTAAGAGGTGAGGCCGCACATCTCCCATTTCTGCTGAATAATTCAGCTCTAAATGCTCTACGAGCCTGCTACTCCGTCTGTTTTCTCGATAAACAACCGTGGCGACGATTAGTAATTTCCCATTCCTGTCTGCAACTATTCGCAAGTATCGTTACCACCTAAGTAAATAAACTCGAGCCGCATAAACATTGCAGTATTGCCATGCGAGTGTTCTTTTGCGGAAGAGACAGTTTAGAAAAACATCCTTGTCGAGTTTTCTGCGGAAGTGGACAAGCAGCTGAGGCGAACAGAATGAAATCAGACAATTTTTTCGTACATCATCAGTTTCTGGAGAAAAACAGCAAGAAGCAATCTTCCATCTGAGAAAAGGGTTTTTTCCTCTGATCAAATACACCGATGATTTTCTTTAGCACTTTCACTGAAGCCTCTGCACAGCCTGGAAAGTCGTAAATAACTAATAGTCGTCTTTGTGAAAACTGCCAATCCTGCTTTGCTACATGTAATGCTTAATGAATTAATAGAAGTACAAGCCAAATAACCCTATCTAATTCTTCAGGAGAAGTTCAGAAAAAATTAATTCTGGAAAGTATCGTAGTTTCAAATACACAAATCTCGGTCTTTTATGTTTTATTTACGACAGAACTTTTGGAAAATACTTTCACTGCAATCGCCTATTCAACGCCACGCACACTCCTCCTCAGTCTTAAAATGGCATTCACACATTGGTCGAAAATCACCGGAAAGTGTAGAATAATAGGAGTGCAAACCACATTCATTCCAAGATGTAGTTGAGATATAAATGGGAGAAAACTAAAGTACACTAACAAAGCTTGCACTCATCTCATGGGAAAGGGGAGGTTTTTCAAATCTCTTTTAACCGGGGTTTTACTGTCGTTGGATTTGCATTTTTTTGCAAGTCAAAAAATTGTCTTGCTTAGCTACTTTGTGATGGGAATTTAGCCCAATAATTAACTAATGTTTTCTAGAGTGAAAAAAGGGAAGAAATATAATTCAGAAATGGGAATCTTTTTTACAAGATAAAGGTAAAGTAACTATACTTCGGTAATAGGCACTTCCGTTTTTGCACGACTTTTTGAGGTTCTCATATCTATCTTGCTTTGGGGATATTTTGCTAATTTCTTACATATACAGGATGTCCCGAAATATATAGAATGTTTGATCGCTAACAGTTCTCTTCGTGAGTAACTTTCACGAATCCTTGAGCATCAGTTTGTAGGAATGGTTTGACTGGAGGGCCGTGCATACTTCACGCGATTTCAGTCGCGACGCAATTGGCACTTCGCCAGAAAACTTCAGATCCAACGCTAGCATACTGCACATGCATAACGTGTGTAACTTACATCAATTGATAAAATGCCTCATCTTCTTTACATTCAAAATGTGCTTACAATGAGCCACGCACAGTTGGAATATTGCCAAATCGCGTCGCGAATGAAATCGCGTGAAGTATGCCCGGCGCTTTAAGCTCAATTTAAAAGCGGCTCGGCGATATTTTCATTCATGTAGGATTGATTTCATTGATATTAAGAAACCTCCAGCGAAAGCAAACCTCCTCCAACCTCCATTCTGCAAATCAGCTGCAAATTTAGAGGAAATTTCGATACGTTTGCAAACTTTTACGATAGAAATTTTCATCCACTTTTGATAATAGCTTTGCACTTGTTTGTGGAACCTTTAGTTAGTGAAATCAAATTTCAAAATTTGTTTGGAAGGGCGGACAAAATTTGAGCGAAATTACGGTGAAGAAAATACTTTAGAACAGCAATATCTTACTTGGTAACGAAGTTTTCAGCTCGGACAATTTCTGGGGCAATATATGCTCTTATTGCTACTATTTTTGAAATTCTATAAGATTAACAGGATTCTTTCTCCACCACCACCACTTCAGACACCATTTTAAGCTCACATTCATTTCAGATCACCGTACAGACGATTCGCTTTTGCTAAACGAGCATCTCCTTACGGATTCGCTTTCGCCAAGCGGGGATACTATTCATCGTTTGCGTAAATATCACTTCAAAACAGAAAGCATAGGCCAACAACGGAGGAGAGCAAGCCTGAACATCGTTCGCGATCTACGATTATAGTCGCTACGCAAAATTACCTTTTTGTCATATTTATTTTCACTATTTCTCGTTTTTTATTGCAGATGCCGCCGCGTGTTGAATAGGTTCGTCTCAGTATGTCAATAAATATTGAACCTTCTGTCTTATCACAAATTTATAGCGAATTGTCCCAAGCTTGCCAGATCGAAATTAATCAAATATTAGGCTCTAAAAACTTAAGGTTTTCACAATTATAACAGAGTTTAGGGTTATTTTTCATAATAAATTTAAGAAGCACAGCAGTCCAACAAGGACAGTTTTCTTAGCAAGCAAACGCCTAATTTTTTTCTTTCTTGCAGATACGAATGGAAGCTCATTATGAGCTGTCTGTGCCCATCCAAGCATTCTCAAGATACAAGTCAGTCTGATCTGATTAGCTCTTCTTCACTAATGCACTCGGATACTGTCACCATGAAAAGTGCAAATTTATTGCGGAAGCTATAGTCACGTACAAAACTGAGTTTCCAGCTGATTTTGAGGAAAAACTTGAAGATTCTTTTATCTATATGGGAAACCTTATTAACACATTGACGATCAAAGCGTTTCACGGACCGGTCGACATTTTTAGATAAAGTCACGCGCATTTTCATCTACAGTACACCTACACTAACTCTGGAAGGCCGACAAAAACAGTAAAGGTTGTGTCTAGATCCAGCACAAAAGAAAACTCCCGGAGTGGGTTTAATACAAAATAGAGCCATTTTAATGATCCATCATACACATGGTGTGTCAAGCGGTCGTCAATGTGTTAATTCAGTATCCAAGAGAAGAAAGAAAAAAAATCACAGGTAGTACAAACCCTTTTTCGCTGGAAAGTTGGGTCTTCATTATAGTCATCAAAGAATACCTAAAGACTACAGTTTGAATAAATGAATGTAAATTCAATGTTGCAAACTTCAAATTTCAAAGTCGCTACCTAGGAAAACAATCTTCTGATTTTATTCCCTTTTGATCTGAAGTATCCTGTCTACTTCCGGAAATCGACCGTTCCTTTTAAGTCGTAGATTGTCCTTGTTTAAAAGTGAATAAAAATACCTAAGAGAAACATTTACAAACTGAAAGAAAATTGTCATGTTATTTGGTTGTTCAGCAGTGTTCAAGCGACTCCTTCGAACCTTATTTATTTCTACGAATGTAAGCACGTTGAACGCAGTCCCGTCAAAATGAAGGGAGCCAGGCTTTGTAGCGGCCTAAGGCATACCTCGCTACGCGATTTAGCACAACAGCAACTCTTCGTTATTCGTTGTTGATGCGCTGCCTTTGGTCAGAACTTGATGCGTTTGCAACAACTTGCACAAGCTACCCAAATATGCGTTCAAGAAGCGCGCACGATAGATTTGTAACGATTCGGCAGAATCGCGTGAGGTAAGCCTTAGGCCTTATAGCAGACCCCCTACTTATGCAATGGCCGAAGTCCGGAGCGGAAAAGGGGGTCTAATAAGCCTGAAATTTGCCTCGAAAGTGGTCCGGATATTACTGTAGGCCCGGACGCCGCCCACACAGCAACTTCGAACTGCAAGGCCAGAGTGCGTATAGCGTACACAGCGTTGGGTCCTATAGCGACGCTGCGTCTCTGACCTTGGCGGGTTTCGTGGGCCTTCAGAAAAGCCATTTTCGACATTTTCGAACTCTGCAAGGTGCACGATAGGAATCAGTGTTACCGATATGCCCAGGTTGCGGAAAATTCCAAATTCAGGACTTTATACGCTGCATTTGATCACTTCCCATTCTATACAGCCTGCTGATAATTCTACCAATGTATTCATGCTAAAGGATTTCTATCAGAATGCCGAGTTCCTGTAGCAGCGGGAGATTCAAAATGCTATTGAACTGGTTCCAGAATATAGTAGAGAAAGTTAATGACGTCAAACGCTGAAATATACTTGAAAGATATTCAGATAGTCAAACTTCACGTGATGTGCGTGCACCAGCACAGAAGTTTCCAGTGCTCCCTTTCCTTTGCTTCAGACATTTGCGTTTTTTTTGGTTGTCGCCGATGGTTGCGTCCGCGAACTGAGGTGCAAGATTCCTATTCAGGTAATTTCCCACTGATCCATTTGTTTCGCGAACACGGCTATTCGTTCCGTTGGAGGTTTTCCTCAGGTACGTTTTGCTTCGCAACGACCCCACTCTGATGTGTCTAGTGTCCATCTGTCGTCTATCCTTCTCATGATGTGATCATCCTACAATGCTTCGCTTTCTCGACGTATTCCGCTGGATCACAAAGACGCGACGTTCTTCTCATATCCATAGTGCGAAGTCCAAAATTTTGTTTGTGTCGGGCCATCTCCAGAAGACTGCACTTGAGCGCCCTGTGGGTCTGTAGAGCTCGACATGGCTACAGTGTTGGCCCAAGTCCAGTGCGCGACAGAGCGCCAGGAGCACGGTTGAGCCGAGCAGATGGACTCAAATTTCCGGGTCTGTCAGTTGCTCTCCGTCTTCCTCAGAGGCCGAAGGCGGCCGTGGCTGTTCTTTTTCTTTTATTAAGTTCTTGTCGAGTCGTCTTCTATTCACGAACGTTGAAGATACACGTAAGAAGGAGACTCCATATTGGCGACTCTCAGTTCCGCATCTTCGCAAAGGGCGTTCTTCATGAAATGGGTCTTCCTCCGATTTGTTCGCAAACCATCTCATCCTTTACGTGTTTGTAGAACGGATGGACCAGCTGAAACATCAACTGGATTCTATCTTTCCCCTTGGAACGTGGAAGCAGCCACCGACGATTGAGAAACAGGGACCACTAGAAAGTTTTGTGCTGGGGATCGCACACCACTTGGAGACGAGCCATCTGAATATCCAAGTGGATAAGTAAGTTGCTCCATTAAGCAAGATTCGGTGGTTCGGCAGAATGAACAGGAATCCGTAGATGAAACAAAAAATATCGCTCTTTACCACTAGGCTCTCGTAAAGCCTGTGTATATCATTCTGATTCATTCGCAATAGGGAATCTAGACATAATTTTGTGGTGAAAGCTTACCCGCTACTTGAACTTTCCCTAGCGATTATGTTATGATGACTAATTGATTTCTTTAAGGCATTTTTTTAGGATGGAAGAGAAACCTCACTAACAAACCGCACTGTTATAATAGTAGTGGCGGACCAAGGGAGGGCCGGGCAGAGGAGGGGGCAAGCCATGGTTGTATACTTGTTTTCAATTTGAAAGGATTGAAATACTATTTTCTTTGAAATTCCGAATTGACCTCATGAGAAAATTCTTTTTGCAAAGATTCGTTCTTTGCTATCGCTATGCGTTATCGGCTGAGAATTTTGTCGCCGCCCTTCCCCTCGAGATGTTTCTTGGATCTCTTCTGGTATTCATGGTTATTACTATCGTGAACGATGAGATTGAGCGATGGCGATTGGCTGGCTGATCAACTTCACTATTGATGCTATGTTTATGTTGTTTTTCCGCAAATAAAAACTTTCTGAGACCTAAACAAGTTCTAGAGTAAAGATCTGGCCTCTGCACTCCTACTCAAGGATGTCGAAGGAGTCGTCGCTAATTTTGTAAGTGAATCTGTTTCAGATGCAAACCACAACTCTTCAGCCAATCATCATATGTTATGTTTCTGCTCAGTGTTTTGTTGTAAGCTACCTCTGCATAATCAGGTTTTTTGAAGATCATGAGCTGGATTGAAGTTAGTTCGATTTTGAAAATTTGTAGTACTATGCAACTAAGATTAGTATCTTTGGAACATCCCGCTTTTTGATCGAGCGAGTCGATTTGACCTAGTCTCGCCATGACTACTTTGATTACGCGAGCAAGGCGCATATTTTTTTCCTTTTTTGTGCAAGCAGCTTAACCGCACCATTGTGCCTCGCAAAATGGCCGCTCTCCCACACAACCCTTTTAGGTAAAGTAGGAGCAACACAGTAGAGTGTCCATTGCCCGCGAAAATTCTTCGTGTGTTCAGGCTGGTCGAGTTTAAAAAAAACCGGTGCGTTTCGTACCGGTGAAACTAAAGTATTCCATTTGATATCTGTTTTTCACGAATGCGCATGCCTTTTTAGATCAAAACTAAAGAATTTCACTGTCAAGAGTATAGATAAAATGACATGAAGCAAATAAAGAGGACAAGCTTTCACTTTTCGGTACTGAAAAGAGAATACATCCAAGAAGATGTATAAAGTGTACCGATACGATTTGCGGATAAGATAACGGTGTTTACGGGATATCTGAAAAAGTTGTCTTATAAATTTTGGAGAAGATTATTACTTTTTTTGAGCGCGGAGTTTGGACATGCTCTACCACTACCACCTCCCTTTTTGCTGATGGTGTCATCAGATTTTTGATTTTAGCCAGGGCTCGGTAAGCGAATGAAAACAAGTTGGACTTCGTTTTTGGGACAAAAAGCAAAGGGAGTACCATTTTGTGGAGTCCGGGAGAAGTTCCGCGGAAAAATTTGCCTACTAGACGGATTCCCCGGTGTCTAAATTCTGTCCCTGAACATGGAGAATTTCCATATCGTCGCCTTTCCTTTGCCTTTTGCCATCATTTCCTCAAATTGCTTTATTGGATATCTCGTTCCAATGCAGAACTCGTGTACTCAGTAGCATGGTATTTAGCTCCACTCTGGATTTTCACTTTTGTTTCATGTTTTTCCCTTCAGACCAATGACTCTTTTTTGTTTCGTTATCTTCTAAGTCTATAGGCTTCCGATAAGGATCAAAGGGAACCTCTTCAAATTTTCGAAAGTCGGAGGACTTTGTTTTCAAGAACTTTAAGACCGGCTCGTGCCCGGCCCTGATGTTAGCTGAAAAATCACCTTCATATGTTTGCACCTTTGTAATTCGAACAAAATCCAATAATTTTCCAAGTACTAGACCTAAATACATCACTGTGTTTTCTAAGAACAGTGAAAGGTTTGCGCTCGATGATACATGTTAAAGCGTAACTTTCTATGAGCCAGCCAATTTTCGAGGTGACTCTCAACTCTAGTTTAGACTTCAAACTGATTATTTGGACACAATTTGCCTATGTTTGAGCGATGAGTTTCAGTTGGAACGCTGCTTTGATCGATGCTGCTCGGAGGACGGGCTTACGTAAAATTACCGCTTTGTTCTACTGTATATATTAATAAAGCCAGCAAGAAAATACTTAATAATGGATTTAGGATACTCGAAAACCTAGCAAAAGAATATCGAAAATATGCTATTCAAACTTGACAATTAAGTTATTCGCTTTAATGGAACTGCTTGTGACATGTCGCTCGCCATATTCCGGTGTGTTTCATCTTTCAATATAAAAAGAACAACATGATACTGTTATCTTGAATAGTTTATTAAAATATGCGATCAAAATTGACTGATAGAAATTATGAAAATCTTTGAACCTTACTGTTTCTCATTTTTTGAAAACAAAACAAAATCACTGGGAAATTACGGGTCCTTCTCTGATATAGCAGTACCAAATAGCATGAATAATAGATGGAAGCACGAAGAGGAATAGAAGAATGATATTGAGACAGACTGCACAGGAGCAGGTTTTATCATGATACCATATCGCTAATGGCTGAAAATTATAGAATATCCGTTTGAGATGGGGAGAATAAAGGTCAAACTGACATAAAACCAACTCGTAACTTACCGGAAGAAACAGAATGAGCAGAATTTCAATGATTTTGTCGGAATCACTAGATTGCATATCCAAGTTTGAGATGTTTGGCGAAAACCAATGCAACTACAGTCTTTGAACTGTGTCTCTCAGAAGAATGCGAAGCAACTGCACGGAACACTCAAAAATTGGGGAGACTAACAGGAACAAAATTTTGTTGGATCACGCCGCCGCGATCAGTTTATATTTGCACAGCAGCATCGAGAATTAGTAATCCGCTGTTACACGAAAGCAACGAACTTGCCGAAGATTTCAATTAATAATTATAGCTTTGCAAAATCAGGGAAAAGCCGCAATGAAAGAAACTTTCAGAAAGGAGGTCTAAAGTTTGCGATTATGAGATTGATGCTAGAAAATGACGAAGTACCTCTATCTAGTCCCAAAAAAATCTCAAAAACTTCTTACACAGGGTTATTTTCATACTTCGATATGGCAGGTTCAGTATCGCGTGAAAACGCAAAAACAAAAAAATCTGCCAGAATTTTCTTTTAACAGAAAAAATATCCTTACTGCTGCATTTTGAAACAAGAACATGTATTAAGCCCCAAAACGTCACAGTCTTCTAGATGAACACTTAATCACTTCCTGGTGTCGAACTGCATTTTTGTGAAGCTGCAGCATCACGATATTCTTGTAGGATGGCATTTTCGATTTTTTTTCAATGATTCTGCAATTTTATAGCAGATCGGACCTGCCACCGTAAGGAATTGACTTTGCTCTGCAAGAAATTTTCACAGATTTTTTGAGGGCTAGCTAAAGGCCCTCCGCGATTTTCTAGCATACTTAAAATCGCGTATCTTGTAAAGTCATCCTGAAAGCTTTATTCTTGGTTACTAGCCGATAGATAGCTGCGCTTGAACATGTACCTTGAAACACAAACCTCTAACTTATATTCAAGAGAAACATTATGAATTCAGCGCTTGGAATACTGAACTGTGTTCACATTATGCAAGAACTTTTGCATCAACCTACTATTTAAACAAACTCCCTTGCTTGTAAAAAAACTATTTCTTTGCATTTCAGTGTCGATGACCAATCATTAGCAATGTTTTAGAAGCGACAGCAACTCGTGTCGGACCCTGGCTCTTCTAGCTCTCGCTAAAGTAAAGCGAGAGCTAGAAGAGCCAGGGTCCGACACGAGTTGGACAAATGTCAAGCTGGAATTGGCTTTGGATGGAAAGCAAAGGGGCTATTGAATTTATACGTTCGCATGTACATACACTCTCTCGACAAGATGCTACACGGCTGGCACACATAACAATATAAATAAGAATTAAGTATAAACGGATAAGGACTAGGAGGACCATATTGCAGAGTATTGTGGAAAGATCATACGATTTAAGATTGTGGAGAGCTTCTTTTCTGGAATTTCCTATACCACAAAATGATAAAATGGCTCCTTTGCAATGCACAGATGTAGAACGAAATTTGTGTATATACGCGCAATAGGGCTTACCAGGGAAGTCGAAGTGTCCTTTCCAGCTAAGATGACTTTAGTCTCAGAGGCTATTTAATACTGAATTCAGATGTTTTCCTTATCTGCGGAGCGCCTCTAGGTGAGCAGTTACGACATATGAAAGTACGAACTGTTTGGGCGGCTCGCGAAAGTGGCTACTGAAGCCAACAATCCAATTGCCGCCGAGATGGATACGGTGTCCTCATTCAAGAGCCAGTCGCACTTTAGAAGGCAGGCTTACACCGTCCCCCAGATAGCACTTTTCTTGTCTGGATATTTCTGAAGCTGCAAAGCAGTTTTGTAACTTATCGCATCCAGGGGCACCGAGAATGATGATCCCAAAGTTGTAATTCTGCCGAGCCGCTGCCTTTAATCAGGGAAAAGTTGAGCACGCTCTTTATACACGTAATTTTTTTCTATGATTTTTCGTAATTTGTTCCTTAAAGGCACCGTCCACCCAAAGTGGGGGTTCGCGAGATTCGATGGCATACTAATGTGTGCCCCCACTCTAGGCCAATCCCCAAGTTTCGGTGCAAAAGATTGCTTTTGGAGCGAGAAATCCGCTCCGAAAGGGGCGTAATCCGGTGCTGGTCACCCCGCCCACTTTGCAGGTTTGCAAATGACGCGCCCGGCGTATATCCGCGCCGCAGCCCCGCGACCTGCATCGCATCCTTCTCCAAAACGGGGGTTGCAAGGGTATCGTGGATTCTCGACTCTAAATTCGAAATCAGGGCCTTCAGAAGGCCTGGAAGCGATAAAATTGGGAAGTCGAGAATTTGGGTGGACGGTGCCCCTTTAACAGGGAAGGATCTTTAGTCGAAGTGGTCTCTCCAAAAGAGGCGCGTACTTCTTAAAGGACACTAAATGCTAATTCCAATCCTGTCTTCTTTATCTTCGGGGCGCTTCTGGACAAGGAGTTAGGAGGGCCGTTGCAGTAAAATTTGAATTGCGTAGATAAATGATAATTCTTTACAAAAACATTCGTAAACCCAGCCTCTTAAACCTCCCTGCGAAGAAAAAATCTTTTGCTTGCCAATCCCGTGCTCGCCATTATTCCATCTGCATGCTGGGAAGGCTGTCACCACTAATTTAATCTTGAGTGTTCAGTTTTTTTTTTGAATCATAAAATACTCGTAATTGCTCACCTAAAGGCGCACCGCAGATAAGGAAAACAGTTCTGAATTCAGCATTCAATGGCCTCTGAAACTAAACGCATCTTAGCTGGAGAGGACACCTCGACTTCCCTGGTAAGCCCTATTGCGCGTATACACACAAATTACGTTCGCCATCTGTGCATGGCAAAGGAGCCATTTTATCATTTTGCGGTATAGGGAATCTCAGAAAAAAAAACTTGCCACAATCTTAAATCACATAACTTTCCACAATACTTTGCAATACGGTCCTTCTAGTCCTTGTCCGTTTATTTTTAACTCTTATTTACATCGTTGTGTGCGCCAGCCGTGTAGCATCTTGTCGAGAGAGTGTATATACATGCGAACGGCATGTAAATTTTATATACAGGGTGTCCCAAAAAATGTTAACACTGTTTGAGCGCTAATGACCCCTTGCTTTTAGGTCTTTTGAGGCATAAATCTGTAGAGCGAGGTTCAACTTAGATTTATAGTATGGAGCGAATCGCCAATCTCTCTTCCCTACTGTATGATTACGGTATGAACTTTCAGCACACACCCGTCACTGTGGATTAGGCCCTTTGATAAAATAATTTCAAAAAAATCTGAAAATTAGTGAAGCAAGTTTTTCAAGCGTGCTGATTACACTGCATAACTTTCCACCACTTTTTTAAGCTTTCTTGATGGCGTATTCACATTTCTGACGAAAACTGAAAAAAACTCATGAAAGAAGCCTATACTGAAATGCAATTTTCATATGTAGAATCAGCGACTTCACTTAGGCTAGTACAAGAGTTTTTTGGCTTGTTTGTTTTTGCGTTCTAAGGCAAAATAACGCTTTTATTGGCTCAAAATCCTCCTCCAAGTTCATACCGTAATCTTACATTAATGAAGGACGGCTGATAATTCGCTCCATACTGTAATTATAAGCTGAACCTCGCTCTAGAAAATGTTACCTCAAGCTTGCCAAAAGGCCTGAAAGCAAGAGAGTTATTAACGATCAAACAGTGTGCACATCTTTTTGGGACGCCCCTGTATACAATAGCCCCTTTGCTTTCATCCAAAGCCAATTCCAGCTTGACATTAGCGCCTTCAACTTTGCCATCTTTTGTTTCTGAAGTTGTCGCTTCTAAAACATTGCTAATGATTGGTCATCGACACTGAAATGCAAAGAAATAGTTTTTTTACAAGCAAGGGAGTTTGTTTAAATAGTAGGTTGATGCAAAAGTTCTTGCATAATGTGAACACAGTTCAGTATTCCAAGCGCTGAATTCATAATGTTTCTCTTGAATATAAGTTAGAGGTTTGTGTTTCAAGGTACATGTTCAAGAGCAGCTATCTATCGGCTAGTAACCAAGAACAAAGCTTTCAGGATGACTTTACAAGATACGCGATTTTAAGTATGCTAGAAAATCGCGGAGGGCCTTTAGCTAGCCCTCAAAAAATCTGTGAAAATTTCTTGCAGAGCAAAGTCAATTCCTTACGGTGGCAGGTCCGATCTGCTATAAAATTGCAGAAACATTGAAAAAAAATCGAAATGCCATCCTACAAGAATATCGTGATGCTGCGGCTTCACAAAAATGTAGTTCGACACCAGGAAGTGATTAAGTGTTTCATCTAGAAGACTGTGACGTTTTGGGGCTTAATACATGTTCTTGTTTCAAAATGCAGCAGTAAGGATATTTTTTCTGTTAAAAGAAAATTCTGGCAGATTTTTTTGTTTTTGCGTTTTCACGCGATACTGAACCTGCCATATCGAAGTATGAAAATAACCCTGTGTAAGAAGTTTTTGAGATTTTTTTGGGACTAGATAGAGGTACTTCGTCATTTTCTAGCATCAATCTCATAATCGCAAACTTTAGACCCTCCTTTCTGAAAGTTTCTTTCATTGCGGCTTTTCCCTGATTTTGCAAAGCTATAATTATTAACTAAAATCTTCGGCAAGTTCGTTGCTTTCGTGTAGCAGCGGATTACTAATTCTCGATGCTGCTGTGCAAATATAAACTGATCGCGGCGGCGTGATCCAACAAAATTTTGTTCCTGTTAGTCTCCCCAATTTTTGAGTGTTCCGTGCAGTTGCTTCGCATTCTTCTGAGAGACACAGTTCAAAGACTGTAGTTGCATTGGTTTTCACCTCGAAAATTGGCTGGCTCATAGAAAGTTACGCTTTAACATGTATCATCGAGCGCAAACCTTTCACTGTTCTTAGAAAACACAGTGATGTATTTAGGTCTAGTACTTGGAAAATTATTGGATTTTGTTCGAATTACAAAGGTGCAAACATATGAAGGTGATTTTTCAGCTAACATCAGGGCCGGGCACGAGCCGGTCTTAAAGTTCTTGAAAACAAAGTCCTCCGACTTTCGAAAATTTGAAGAGGTTCCCTTTGATCCTTATCGGAAGCCTATAGACTTAGAAGATAACGAAACAAAAAAGAGTCATTG